GATGATGGAAAGGCTATGTTTACGCTTGGTTTACTAGTGCGTTTGGAATAAGCCTGCCGGTAAGAAATATTTATTTTATTGATTAAAAGAACTGCAAAAAAAAAAAAAAAAAAGGAAAAGGAAAACAAACACCTTTCTCCTTTGCTCAGGTTTGTGATTGAACATCATTGATCCTCACAGAAGGATAGCAGCAGTGCAGCCATCCAGAGACTCTGTTCCACAGTTGACAATGCATTCACTCAGAGTCCAACTCCAGCTACACACACACACACACACACACACACACACACACATCCTCTGTTCACGCTCCATGTTCGCCCATTGTTGGGACACAGCGTGTGGCCCTAAATCATAATGTAGAACAAATGTCAGTGAAAGGTCACGTTTTGTATTTTCACTTCATCTTGGATGTCAAAGCTGCGTTCGCTGAAACAATTGCAGGTGGATCAGAATGAATTTAGATTCTTTTCTCAGCGTCTAACCAGCATTTACTCTCCAATTAAAGACCGTCACGGTCAAACAGGTCGGTCGGTAAATGTGTGAGAATAATTATTCTGCTGTTTGAGTCTAGTGATCCATTAGAAGCATTGGAGTGGAGTGGAGGAAGAGGAAGAGGAAGAAGAGAAAACGGAGCAGGAAGCTGGTCCAAGATGGTGGAGCTTCCTGCCTCAGCAAAGTGAAAGCAAAGGCAGACGGCGAGAGATGAAGGAAGCTGGATCTGTTTCAATCAGTTCTATGACAAAGGTGCTCCAGGCACAGATGGCTCTGTCATCAGTGAAACACACACACACACACACACAGAAAAACTGCACAGGACATATATATATATATATATATATATATATGTGTGTATGTATGTATATATCTATATACAATATAGGTTTAAAAGGACATATTTGCTCAATTATTATTATTTTTTACTGATAGAGTAAGTTGCAGCATAGAAGCTTTTTGTTGTTTGTGTTTTCTGCTGCATCATCTTTTTTTTAAAAAAAAAAGAAGAAGAAAAAAACCTTCAGACAGCCTGGAAGAAAATGTTGACGTTGTCTGAACACTCCAGGCGAGGTTTAGCTCTAAACCTCACTTCTATGACACAGCCAGGATTGTCTCAGCAGAATTTGGAGGACTTCCTCTCTCACTGTCTTCATATTGTACGTATATTGTGAAATTGCTGGTACCACGCCAAAGAGGAACATACTGGCGGAAAGACTTCAATTTTGAACAAATGAACCCAGGTGATTGTTGGCAGGCACAAAGGAAATGATGCCACAAGAAGAGCCGTCTTTGTTTTAAACGAGGGCTGGAGATGTCACGTCCTAGAGACCACCAGACTGAAGTGTTATGTTGGTGACGTTAATGCTGCGATGAGTGGACGTTACAAAGGAGGACCGAGAGCAGCTGTCAATCTGAATGGGCAAATAGCCTTCTGTCAAAGCAGCTGAAGTCAGGCTTCAGGACAGCTGCCTGAGGTTAGCACATACACTACGGACAATTATCAGCCATTTAGTGATGATATGACAGCTGTACTGCAGCATCTGTCAGTCACAGCGGGGCACGACAGTGAGTTTTGGATTAGAGCATTATGTGAACTGTTCTGCAACAAATCTGCAGTGAACACCAGGCTTAATTTTAGGCTGGATTATTTTAAGGATTGGTAAAAAGTTTGTAGTATGTAATATTTCCTGGACTGGCGACAGTGCAACCTGAAAACCTTGCACCGTGTGGCTAGGTTTAAGTTTTATAGATTATGGTTTTACAAAATAGGTGGATAACACAACCGTCGTGCACCTGTGACATGCACCCAGTGTGGCCTTGGCATGAGGAAAATGAAGACTGAAGAAAACGTAAAGAGCTGTACAGTAACAAATGCTGTTCTTGACATGGAGGTTTGTCAGCAGGTCATTAAGAAGATCAGTCCGAACACCGCAGTTTGCTGCTGACTTTTGTATCGCCGTAGACAGAAATGTGAGTGGAGACAACGACTCTATAATCTGATCTCACTGTCTGTTTGCCTGCTTCCGGACAGAGCTTCCAGTGATGCATGATATGATCACCACACTGCAGTGGAAGTGCACCAGTGACCAACGGAAGCTATATCCAGACAGTGATGCAGCTCTCCTGTTTCAGGGAGGAGACTAATGACATTTATATGACCTTGTTAGACGCTCTTAACCGAGGAAGATACACAAGGATGACACAACAAATGTAATAAGAGGTGCATTGCTGGGATTCTACAAGCATCTTCAAAGAGTCCCTCAGAACTGGAGGGAGATGGAGTCTTTCAGAACCAGCGCACAATCATCTGCCCCGCAAACATAACTGGGATTTGAAAAGAAAAGGAGTGACTCAATAATTCATGAGATTTACCAACTCCCCTGCACTTTAGTGTTTCCATTTCAAGGATCTTCTATATGCAGCTCTCAGATGTGTCAGGCTTTACTTGTGTGTGTGTGTGTGCGCTCGTGCATGTAGACCTTTTCCTTTCCTCTTTCTGACTAGCAAACATGCAACACTTGGGCTGAGCTACACAAAAACACATTTCCTATGTCGTCAGCTGCTCTAAAACTGTAGAAAATACTTTGAATCAAGCGCAAATATGGCAGCGAAAAGGCAAATAAAAACTGTGTGTGCGTACGTTTCACTGTTTACAGATGCATCTGTGAGTCCACGGATAGAACACGACTTGTGCATTAGATTAGACTTCTTCTCTGAACGTTATGACCAGTATGGCAGAAAAAAAAAATCTGCACAGGAAGTGAGTGGGTGTCCATCTGAAGGAGGTTGAAAATATAAACTATTAAAGGTCTCATGGTATGACCAGTGAGTTTTTCCAATAACGCAGCCTACTCCTTACGCCTTGAAAGAATCAATTCATTTTTAATTTCAACCGATGTGAATTGTCACACATTTGTGTTGATGCATTGTTACATGTCTAGTTATTAATCAAAAGTCTATCTTTGAATTCTACATTTACTATCTTGTGAAAAGAACGAACAGATGTACAACAAAATCTAAAGTCTATCTTTGAATTCTACATCTACTATCTTGTGAAAAGAACGAACAGAGCAAACAAACGACGACAAGTAGTTAGTGAGTCTGCAGGATGACTCGTTTGCAAACAGAGGCGTATACGCTTTTGGAAAATCAGACTTTTACGATTACATTTATGACCCGTACGTTTATATTCAAGGATATCCCACCTTTGATGTGTGAACAGATGTTTACAGTTATTTCCAGACCATCTGGTTTCTGAAGAATTAATACAACGCCTGAAGGAGTAAGTCTGTATTAAACATCCTGATCTAGCCTGCGGGACAAGGGTTTTGTCTGTCGTGTAAGGTTGTGAGGCAATGTGAGACTGTTTGACATCATTTTGTATTACTATCTCTAATTTTAATTTAAACAAAACAAAACAAAAACAATCTTCTGACCCTTGGTTCACCGACCGTACGCTCTCTCTCTCTGACCAGTCGGTGCCAACGTACAGAGATGTTGATCCAGCCTGAAGGCTATTCTCGCAAAAACACAAGCATGACTGTGTTTGTTTCATGTATAATTGATCATTACATTAAGAGTAAGCTGACATGCACAAGACTGTCATTTACCAAGTCAGGCAGAGAGGTGCACCTTGTGACTTGCTGGAAGCCGTCACTCCCCGGGGAGATAAATAATGTGTGCAATCGATTTCGTTTTCAGAGTGATTTAACCTGCAGTCCGGGAACGACAGGTCTAAAATCATTTCCTGGCTCTGACATGATGGAAATGTCAACTGTTTAGAAAAGTTTATCACCATGGTGACATCACACTTTTTTTTGTGAAATTCACACCTACCTAATGGCGTTTGTGGCTAAGAACTCAATGATTTAAATTTATAACTTCTCACAACACAAACAATGTATTGAGGTTTGTTCTACGAATGTGCTGTGAAAAACTTTTTTTTAATGGAATCAAAATATATTTTTGTAGGGTAATAGCTACGACTAGGGCAAAGGTGTGTTTTGTTTTTTTCTGAATCTGTTTGTTCTTCTCAAATGGAAAAATCGCAACCCTTTGTGTGTGACATCTTACATAAATGGAAAAATCGCAACCCTTTGTGTGACATCAAAAATCGCAACCCTTTGTGTGTGACATGTGTGACAAAAAAAAAACAAACAAAAACAACAAGCAGCACCTCGACTGTTTGTTTGTCGTACTTAGAACCACTTTGTGGTGTAGAAATGGTTGAGGACTCTCTGGTGCAGAGTATAAACTAAAGCTACAACACCCCCACTCCCTCTCCCCCCACAGCCTTGAATCAAACACCAAGCATCAGACTCGTCATCTGTCAGGCTTTGAAGCTCCTCATATACAGTACGTTAACGCCTCTCAGTAGCATGTGCAATAAAAAGCCCTGACTTGATCATTTATACAGCAGTGTTTCTAAGGATTTCTCTCAGAATAGTGATCAGACACGATTCTTTGAAGGAAGCTCTCTTTCCTTCCTCATCCTGTCGTCCAAACTCTAACCCGTTTCCCAGTTGGACCCTGTGTAAAAGGAGAACTTTCCTACTGACTCTCTTTTCTCTTTTGTACGGATGTTCTTGCAAAATAATTGGATTTTTTTTATGTAACATCCCAAATATGGAGATGTGCTCCAAATTTCAGCACATCCATTAATTAACAAAAATGTGTCAAAAAAAACCCACTGCATTACAACATAACACATAAAATTGCACCTTTCTTTGTTAAGGTAAATATATCATTTCTGTCACGTTGGTTATGATGCACAGACTCCGGTCCTTTAGATGGCAGTAATGCAACTAATTTTATCTACATGTCTGTCCATTGACTTATTCGTCAATTGAAATTAATTCAAAATGAAAAGGCTTAATGTGTCAAATATTATTTTTTTGTAAGAATGTGATTATTTAAAATTAATATATTTAGATTATATTAGATTATATTCAGTTGGATTAGATTAGACAACATTAAATGACATTAGATTAGATTAGATTGAACTGCAGAATTTGTCATTTAAAAAAAAAGGAAAGGGTTCCTGGTTTCCCCTGTGTACCAGGTTAAATGCCAGACATGAAAACTGGGGGTGAGGGAGGCATGGGTGACTGACAGGCAGAGTGAGAGAAAAATAAGTATCTGTGTGCAGGCCGAGTATTGTTGGGCTGATACGAATGAGGCTGTGGCCTCCCTCGGGGAGTGTGTTGTAGTACAGCAGTTGTCTGCCTCAGGGCCTGTCATCATCTGCTGTGTCCATTCAGCAAACCACTGACACACTTCCTCTTTTACACACACCCACACACCCACACACACTCACTCACTCACTCACTCACACACGTGTGACATCTGTCTGGGTGAAAGGGATGGAAAGGTTTGTGGTGCTGAGTGTGCGAGTTGAAGAAAAAAAGAGAAGTCCTGTCACATTCTACAACCCTAACTTTAAATAAGTTAAAAAGGACAGAAATAGGTTTAGATGTTCCTGCAGATGAATGTGACACAGTGTTCCTCTGTCGCCGACGGAAAAAAAAAGTCTCCTTTATCTGCTATTTGGAAACAATGATAAAGAGGTCTGATTAGGAAAATTCTAAATATAAAACTGACGAACGCAACTTCACACAATGCTGATAAAGTCTCTCAGCTCCGTGCCACTCTCTCCATGTTTCTCAGTGTAGTGTAGAGTCAGACACAGGGTAAAAAAAAGCCTCTGAAATGAGGTAGTTATGTTTATAAAACCCTTAAAGTCTAAAGTATTACCATGCCATTTGTGGCGGGGTGTAAGATTAAGTAAATATACCAAAAGGTTATCAAACATATTTCTCAAACTGAACCAAATATGGTTCAAACTTTCCGCAAATCCAAGAAACATCGAGTTTCTATTTTTCTCTTTTACATGTGTTGAAGGACGGGTTCATCCAACAGATGCCAAACATTTTTAAAAATAAAGACTTCCTGAAATGTTTTCATTTGGTTAACAAAGCACCAAAGTGGATTTTCAATCATAAAAAAACAAATGCTAAGTTAATACAAAGGCTGTGTTGAAGTGTCAGATGGAAGTTTCACTCTTAAATCAACACAAAATGCTTTTGCGTTTTGGTAAAAATATAAAAATTATTGTAAGAGTATAGAGGGACAGGCAAAGATTTGTCGACGGCTGATGAAACACAGATGGCTTCAAAACACAGATGTTCAGCATTTTCTTACCTCCAAACTCCCAACACCCTTTTCGTCCCCTCTGAAGGACTCAGTGTTTCCTAACTGTAACCTTTCTTCTCTGTTTGTTTGACAAATCACATTTATAGACTAAGCAAACTGCACACAGTACAAAACCTCGGGCTTGAATTAATTTTATGAAGATCAAAACTGAGGCTGAACAAAAACATTAACGACATGAATATAGCCTAAAGTTGTAAAACACTTACTACAGGAAATAGTAAATCTGAACGTCTAAATGTAAACTATAAAGCAACATTTGCCTGTTTTCTTCCCCTAACAAGCCGAGAGGAATTGTGCTTAAAAATATTTACAGGTGAAAAACAGGCATGTTAGGTGGCAGTAATGCAACACGTAAGATGCTACATAAACTATGCTATGTGGTACAGCGGAGGGGCCCCCTGCCTGCTATTATAAGGTTCAGGGTTCAATACCACCTAGTCCCACATTCCATCCCAGGTCGGGTTGTGTCAGGAGGGGCGTTGCCGGGGTAACCAGTGGTGAAGTGAAAAGCTGAAAGAGACTCTTCTTCTCCTACTTTGCATGTTTGTCTTTTAAATATTGGAAAACATCAGTAAATCATTTTCCTACCAAACTGCTCTCACTGCTGTTTTGTTTACACAGGTCCTGTGGACATTTCTTCCCTGTCACCATTTGACAGTGGTCTGTTTAGACCAATGGGAGCGCCATGAGTTCACATGCTTGCTCAGGATTACATATTTACCACCTGGTCCAACTCGCTCCGGTATGGACTTACTTGACCTCTGCTTCACTGGTCGCTCTCATCTCCTAGTATCCACTATTGATGGTACAATGGAATGTTTAAACTATTCTCAGTGCTGTTAAGGATTTTTAAAGGAACTTTAAATCGTGTTCTTTAGGTTTAAAAATCCACCTCCGTGAATGAAGAGAGAACAAGAACACCATTATTCACCTTGGATCCCTCGGAGCTGCGAACGTTAATATTAGTGTAGTCAATATTTTAACAACGCAGGTGAAATATTAACTGCTTCCAAATGGTTTATAAGGAGTTTGTGCTTTCTTAATCACCAGGGACAAAAAAGTGTGTATTTTCTTGGAGGACCGAAGGATCAAAACTGCCATCTGAAGAGAATTACTCCGAGCTGCGGTGGTAAATACAACAGCACGTTTCTCTATTTCCTGAATTCTTTGAGGACAACATGTTAAATCAGTGTCATCTGTCATTATTTTTGGCTATGCTGAGCAGCTGTTTGCAACAAAATCCTTGTTCTGCCCTGCATGAAACGGTAGATGAACTTCATGTTTGGCTGGGGAACATAGTGAAACATTTAAGAACTACAGAGCCAGGAAAGAGCCACAGGAAAAAACATTTGCTCACTGCAAACCAGAGTTATTGTTGCCTTGTGTCTGTTGTCTTTGCTTGTTTCCAGAAACATCTGCAATATCAATCCCGTTATTGAAACGCTGTGTCATTATTTATATTTTTGCATTCACTTATTTCAGTTGAAACAACTTCCTCCAGATGCAAGGTCACGTTGGGTATTTGATCCGAAATTTTGTTGGACCTAGTCTTCTGACGCTGATCAGTGGATGGCTGCCAAGGCCTCCAGGTTAGAAGGCTAACAATAAGGTAGAATGATAAATGGTCTGTATCCACCAAAGCACTTTACAATCGAGCAGTACAGGGAGTACCTGGAGCAGGGTAAGGAGAAATACTGCACTCAACACTTACGTCTGAAAGAAAACTGTTCTACCCACTGATCCACAACTAACTGTTCAGTTGACTCTCCTTGCAGAAAAGAAAAAAATGTAAGTTTGCACCTGAAGATCTATTACTAGAATACTACAGTAAATCAACACCAAATACTACATTCTATTCATCTGTACAGGAGAAATTTTACAATAAATCCAGAGAAAGAAAAATTATGTCTGTACAGGAGAAATTTTACAATAAATCAAGAGAAAAAATAAAATGTGAATTATACTAAACACCAGATGTAGACCTCGTTTAAAATACAGCAGTTCCATCATTTTCATAAATTTGAGCACAACATCAACCTTAACATCTGACCCAGAGTCACACTCACTCACTGAAAGCATTTATGACTTTAAACAGAAAACTGACAACTGGATGTTTCCACACAACCCTTTAAGAAGATGTGAATCACATAAGTGGAAAAACTGAACACCAGTCCTTCCAGACACACGACGTCAACAACACCTGAGTTCCTGAGTCGATACAGAGCCACTGTTGTGACAATACCTCTATTATTTGCTCTTCAGGATAAATGCCAGCAAACTATCTCTGCACATAACCATAAAATAAGTTTACACCTTTAGTATCTCCTTATTCTTACGGCTAATGATGGGCAGCAGTTTGCTGCATTCATGAACACGTCAACAAAAACTGATGGTATAGCGAATGAAGAAAATCTGAGTGTGATCTGCTGCTGCTGCTGCTCTTGTACAGTGGACTGCAGTCTAGTGTTTACAGTTGACAGGACAGAGATGAACTGACAGATCTGGCCAAGTCCAAAAACAGTCCCTCCATTCAGCAGCAGCAGCAGCAGCAGAGGACAGTGGATGATTCCTCCACCAGGCTCCATTCAGCACACACTCACACACACACACGTGCACACACACGTAGTTCGACATATGTCAATTCTAGTGATACTATAAATGCTTGAATTACATTGTTCTACAAGATGAATATTGTGTCTGATTGGACAAAAGCAACAGTGGACGCCAAGCTAACAGTGGAGTCCAAAGCTAAGGTTTACATTGATGAATACATTAGATGTGGTACATGCTCTGTAACAACTGTAACAGATACATACAGTCATCACTCATGTCACATGACTATGGTATATAATGGGGTATTGAGGATTATGGAATGTATCACATTTTACTTTAATCTTATAGATTAACCCTTTGCACCAATTGATGATTGATGAATCCACAGAAAATGAGTATGGCTCACCCAGTATACAACGTCATGTTCCTGACATTTCTATGGACATAATCTTATTAAATTCTTCTTCTACAGAAACGAATGAGGTTTTGTAATTTTGGACAACATTAAGAGAAGAATAGACTAGATATGTAAGTGGGATACCACATGTGACTGACGGCTACACCGTCCAACAAAACATCACAATATCGAGACGTTTCAGGAAGGAATGTTAACGTCTCCTATTTGAGTTCTTCTGTGACCAGCAGAACTGAGCTAAGCTACGTCTTTCAATTTCGTATATACAGCCAAAGGTTAGGACCTGAATCATAACAAGCAAAAACGCCAAGAAATGACATCTTTATCCTGATATAAACCTGAGCCACTGAAATGGGGTTCTGCTTAGAACATGAGCCACGAAAAGCCCAGTGTCCAAACCCAAACATCGACTCGCACGCGCGTACACATGCACATACAAATCCATGACTCATGGCGGTACCCTTCTTGACAGTGTGTGATTGACAGCTCCTCTTGTGTTGAGTTAGGAAAATATTTTAACGATTTACGCGTCTATTAAAAGGACCATACGTTTATATGTTGATATATATGTAGGGGAAGTCAAAATGTTGAAGTAATGTCGATGCACTTCCTCTAAGACAAGTCGCAATTCTCTGCATTAAATAACTTTTTATATTTTTCCATGCGGCATGTATTCTTCCTTTTTAGTTACACTGGACTTTGTAATGATGTTTTCGTGGCTCTCTGGATGTTTATACTACACTTTACGGTAACCGCAGCTAGCTGCCCTCATTACAAACCGGGAAACGACACTGTAGTGTTGTTAGTGATGCTACGTTTGACCCGTCCGCTAACGTAACTCCCAACACTACAACACTGTTATTCTGCCCTCCAGGCTCCGGTCACGTCTTCGTCACGTCCCCGTGGAAATCTCCCGACCAACACACCCATACGTACACACAGAAACACAGAGGCTACTCACGCCCTGGGTCTGGGGAAGCCCATGGACAACAGCACATCAAGGTTGGAGCCACATTTGACGGAACCCGATCGGTTCTGCCTGATCCTGCGCGGCAGAATTTTACTGTAGACGTCCTCTTTGGCAGCCATGGTCCAGCGGCTCACCAGCTCCTGTCTGAGCGAACGCAGTCCGGCAGCACCACCTCCGGTTAGTCCATCAGCTCCAGCCGCGGCCGCATGAGTGTGAGTGTGAGGAGGAGCAGCGGCGGAGGAGAGAGCCGAGAGCTGATGTGTGCCGCCAACAGACACAGACCCACAACTCAGATAATGCGCCCTCTGTAGGTCACGTACAGCACAACACTCAACGAATGTGCACTCAACGAGAGCAGCCGTTAGAAATCCAAACTAGCTGGAAAAAAACTATTTACATAATATTAACAAAGAAGTGAATGAGTGAAATGTCAAATACCTATATTTAACAGTATAGAATACAATAAAAGACCATTTGACAAGATCATGGGGTGTTATATTTACTTTAATTTTGTTTTTACAAATACAAAATCTATCATAAATACACCTACACCATATTGATGAGTATAAAATTATTTCAAACATTTACATTTTCACATTTTGCATGTAGTTTTTATGGCGCAATTATGTCAATATGATTTGTCATTTCCTGATTGTTTTTTTTTTTTAAATCAGTCATCAATTCGTGCCTTCATCCCTTTATCTTCAGTCTGGTAAATTAAAGAAAGGCTTCAGAGAGTTTGATTTCTTCGTCATCTTTTTTGTAGCTTATTACCTCAGGATTAATACTTCTCTTCCCTTTTGTCTTCTTCTTATTCTTCTCTCCCCAATTAACCATATGACACACTGGATGGACATTCTCTGGCTCACTGAGCAGCCACATTGACATAACCCCCTGATAACTGTGAAGTGTCCTCGAGTGGTCAGCCTGTGGCGTGGGGAGATTTGGGCTCAGTTCGGCCCTCCGACTGTTCTGGCAGATGGGTTGTAAGGTGTGATGAGACAGAAGACACAGCCAGCCTCTTGGAAAGCCTGCCTCATCTCCACCTAGTGGACAAAGCACAAACCTGCATCAATACTTGTATTACTGTAGTTAAACTTGTTGGTTGTTTTGTTTGTTTGTTGTTGTTTGTTTTTTTTTGCCTGATTGTGTTCTAGGCTAAACTTTAAAAAAATACTGACATCTTGATTTCTTTCGCTACATGTTACCATATTATGTTTTACATTGTTGGCCTGCTTGTTAGCATTTAGTTGTAAACGTACACTTATTAATTTTGGGACCAAACTAGTTGTTAGGCAAGAAGAAAGTTCAGTGTTTTACAAGCTTCACATAAATCCTATTGTGTGGATAATTCACCCAAAACTTAGTCATTCTAATGTGTGACTGACAGGTTTATAAATATATCTCGCCAAAATAGAGTAAATTTACAACAAATTAACATCATGAGACGCCAATACTGCACAAAATAAAAGTGTAAAAATACAATGAAACAGTGTATCCTCTAGATTCTTTACCAGTTTAAAATCAGCCTTCTGTGAAATTTTAAAACAAAGGAGTAATATAAACAAGAATGTACCAATTATCCCTTGTTGTTTTAAAAAGTATCATTAGAAATATAGTCAGGTACAAAATAAACAAAAATACACCTATATTTGTGTGTAAAAAGAAAACTGAAACATTGACTTAAAAGTCAAATAGATTTCACAGTAACTGGAGGTGGTTTCTCTTGATTTCATCACTCATAGTTTTTGATCTGCTCACTTGCTATCCTCCTACTGCCTCTGACTTTCTCAATCTTAGTCACAACTCATCTTTAATGCACATCTCACCAGTCTGTTGTGGTCTAGACAAAGGCCCACCACAGCTCCACCACTGCCTGGTAACTTCACTGCTGAGCCAAACTGTGGGGAGCAGCAGAGACAGTATGAATGCATAATCAGAGCAGAACCTCTCCAGCAGAGTGAACAACTGTTCAATAAAACATGCTCTGCTCTGAGCAGCTTCTGGAATAACAAAACACTGACCTGCCTCGCCAGCTGAACCATTTTGAGATTTCCAGGACCAAGACACTCATCAGTGTAGACAGACCTGTGGCATGTGATACTGAGCTTTAGCAGCAAGCATGGCATTAATGTGAATGTGGAATGTGGAAACGATGCAGTTCACCTCCTCAGCTCAAAGTTCTGGTCCATTAACTGGGCAAGACAGGTCCAGTCTCTCTTCTGCAGAGCCTCCCTGAAGGAAGAACAACAATTGCATTTCTGCCACCACAGTGGAACTCAATAATAACACTGTTAAATCATTCTTAGTCATTTGAGACTGTTACATAAAGACTTTAACTGATGAGGACTGATAATATTTTGCTGCTTTATATACTCAGGAGACAACCATAAAACAAAACAAAAATAATGAAAATGTATACATACATTCTTTTAACTTTTCAAATTTTTTTTTTTAGTTTACATGCTACATACTAACAAACCAACCTGGCTTTGTCGGTAAGCTCAGCAAATGTCTTCATGGCCTCAACAACCACAGCATCACCTGTGGACAGACGTGTGCAATAAACTTAAAAAAAAAACACTTTTCCTTCCGTAATTATTGAATACAGAGGAAGATGAAATATACGCAAGAAGAAAACCACAAACAAAAACTAAGTAAACTGAGTTACTTTGAACACAGTCTGCAAGTTAAATTTGAAGTACCACTGAGCCAGCGCTGTCTGATGTTGCTGTGGATGCGTCCAGAGTCACTGGGGTCACTCAGGAAGGCCAACCAGAAGAGTGGAAGGTCAGTCATGTCCATGGAAACATAATGACCTGATAATATAAAGGAACATCAGACCCATAAAAAGGTGATGACATATTTTAATCACAGACATGAAGCAGCAGGTTGCAGCATGGGACCGTCCCCACACACTGCTCCCAGGGCACTCAGCTTGAGCCACCCTCCGACTCACTAAGATAATGAGTTAAAGCAGTACTTCTCAAATAGTGAGGTGGCTCCCCCTGGGAGTCAGTGGGGGGTCATGAGAAAAAATAATTGAGAACCACTGGGTTGGTGTGTAACACTGTAACATTGGTACCGTAGCCCTGCTCCTCCATGAGCTTCTTGTCAAAATCCATGTAGATTAACCCTTCATAGACCTGCAATAACACAATGCAGTCTGGTAACTATGAAATTTAACTCTGTGACTTACTTCAGGGCCAAATCAGAAAGATTGCCTCACTGACCTGAACGACTCTGTCCTGCAGTCCAGCAGTGATGAAGAGTTCATCTGTTTCCACATTAAGGATGAAGTTGGCTCTGACCGGTTTAGGGAGGTCCTGAAGTGAAAACATTGAAAAAAACTATCAGCTTTACATACAGAATCCATAACGTGAATATTTATAATGTACAAATCCTTCTGATTTTAAGATACCAGTCCTCAAAAAAAAGCTGCATTTGGTAGGGAACCACCAGGGGGCGACTCGATTGTTAGCCAAATGACAAATTTACTATAACATCAATTGAAAAGTTTTGTAACTGTGTGTGGTCTACATCATGAACTGTCAGATTTCTGACAAGCCACGACAAAAAAAACATATTATGAGACTTTAAAACTGGAATTTATTTTAGGAAGCGATTTTTTTATGCTGATAAAATATGGATGTGGCCCAGTTAGTGGCACCTTTTAAGGGGCGTCCATGGTCTTGGCCATCCTTAGAAAAGTGTTGGACACCAGAACGATGCCTCCTTTTTTTGTTTCACCACCTCTGTATATGTTTTTCTTCTCAGGCTGCGGCAGGTTCAGGTTATCATGTTTGTTCTCTAAATGTTACTGCCGTTGACACAACTGTGGTTTGACAGAAACACAGCGTTTGAGGTACTGCAGAAGGCAAACACACGCCTCTTCCAACTGAGGGCTGCGAGTTAATCCTGTAAATTATTTACATCTGAATAAAACGAAGCTTTCACAGGAGCAGAACTATTCTGTTTTTTCTGTTTCTTCACCTTCCCTCGACTGAGCCCACAGTTTACTTGATCAGCAGACAAACTTAAATGCATGAAGTTATTCACTTCATGAATTTTATATTTTGGTTGGATGTTGGACTGACTGAGACCAGTTTACACTGAATGTTTCCCTCTGGTTTATAAACAAGGCTCTGTGACTTGGTGTTCCAAGACACACTGAGACATTTAGTAACAAAGTCCCTAATCAACACTGCAGACATAGTGTATAAACACATCCTTACGCTATCTGTGATGTTGTAGAACTTCATGAGACACTTCAAGGTGGCAGAGACAATGGCGCTGCACAATAGGACAGAAGGACATTTATCAAACATGAGCTCGCTAACAAAACATGGCATACACATTTGAAACTGCATAAAAAAGTTACATTCCATCAGAAACTATGCTGCTGCCTGATGGGAAAAGGAGTCAATGCTGGTGATGAAAATGCCAAGAAAATTCTGCCTGTGGCCAGATTTTTATTCTTGTTCTGTTCTCACTTGAGTTTGTGCAAATAAGAGCTGTTCATTATAACCCAAATAATACATCAGGAATAATTAGACAAAAACAGATGCACTGACGCTGTGTTTCTTTCAAGTGTTTTTTTTCTTCAGAATTCTAATATAAAAGCTGTTTAATGACAAGAGAAGGATAACAAACCACTGACCTGCTTCCAGCCAGGCCCTTAAAACACACAGAAAATTTGACGCGTAAATTATTTTATGTGACCAATGATCATAATCACTTATCACTAATTACTTTTCTTTTAGTGCTTCACACTCTCAAAGAATTCTTACCACTTGCCGTGGAATGTTGGTGTCATATTTCAGAGTGAAGTTCTGCTTCGTCAAAGCAATGCTGCAGCACAAAATAAACACACAGAAAGTTGTTACTCAGCAAAGATAATGCTAATAATAATAGGGTTATTGGTTAAATATAAAAATACAACATTTAAAAGTGGTCATTTAAATAGTATTTCACAGAACGTTTCACTGGATGTTCCTCCCAAATTTAAATAGTATTTCACAGAACGTTTCCCTCCCATCAAAACCCTGTGCCTAACATTTATAATGTAACTGCTAACTTTGTTTTGTCTCCTGTGTGATTGTGTGAACGGTTCATTGGCTCTGTTTCTGATCTCACCCTTGTTTGGAACAGAACTGGTAGAATTTTTTGCAGGTGGCCTGCAGCAGCCTCAGACCTCCCAGGTATCTAAGAGGAACAGACACTTCAAAGTTGTATATCCAAAATATTAAGACAGACAGTAGTAGAATGAAGAAAGCAGTGCAGGCACAGGGACACACACACACACACACACACACACACACCCTTGATACAGAACAGATCCTGTAAGCTTCCAAACTCTGTCGGATCGTTGAGAGGATGAGGGACTAAAACCTGAAAGAATCAAAGAAACACAGATGACATTACAACAGAGCAAGAGAGAAGCATCGCTGATGTTCACAAACGTGTGCGGTGTTACCAAAGTCTGACTCTCCACTAGAACCACCTCCGCCCAGAAGTTGGAGATGGTCATGGCTATGGTTTTGCCGTTAAAGCCGTCCGAGGGATTCCCCATTAATCCAACCCTGTATGTGACACAGAGTCAACTCTGTTACCCGTTGGACTGTTACAGCTGTAACACACACCTGTAGTCATCTGTAACCCTTGAATCTGTGGAATGTTCCAGTATTCAAGACCAAATCTTAGAGTGACTTAGATCAGTACTAGACTTTTCGTTCGTGCCTTAAATGGTTGCCTCCGTCCATAATGACCTAATTTAAATAGTTTAAACACCTCGTGGCTAAAACTCAATAATCCACTTTATTTTCTGAGTGAGTCTCACACATACCTGGCATATGACCTGCACGTGATCGGTTTAGCAGCACTGTTTTGCTGCTTGGTGGAGTAGTGACTGAGCCACTTGGTATAATCCGACAGACTCTGAGATTGAGAGAACACGCTGTTAGATTGGAATCATTCAGCAGACCCCAAAAAGGATCAATTTCTCTTATCTGAGGTATAACAAAGGCTGACACTGACACAAAAGTAGCTCAAACCATGTTGAGCGGAACGGTTATTCAAACACATAAGAGACTGACCACTTGTCCAATAAGCTGAAATCCAGTGGGCAGCTTCATCCCAAACACATCCAGCTGTTTTTCATTGATCAACCACTCCTAAAAATATATAAAGATAGTCTTTCATACAGTGAGAAGAAAAACACAGTCTGATTTAATCATCCGAACTGAATCAGTGTAAAAGCCCTGACAATGTTTGACTGTCACTGACAAACCCAGAATTGTCCAAATGTCTTGTCTGTGGCTTCAGGCTGCAGGTGGAGAAAGTCAGACAGGCAGGGCAATGTCTCCCTCCTAATGCAGTAAAAGACCACGCTGGCCAGCCGCGATGATGTCACATCCTCCTGGGGTTTCTCCAAGAAGCGAGTTATTCTTGAGTCACAAAAATACTTAAAGTCAAATGGTAAAATTTAAATGTAAGGGATACTTTAGTGCACTAGTGTTGCAGGACAAAGTACAAACAGAACACAGGTAACTTTACTCACCTGTGAGTATCAGGGCAGACCTCCACAATGCCCCGAGAGCTGCTCTTCTCACTCTCCTCCAGCTCATAGTAAATTATTAGCTCTCCAGGCTGAAACACAGACACACAAGATGCTGGGAAACAACAAGTCACTCATAGTTTAAGCAGCGCTTTGAGTGCTTTGAATAACATTTGAGTTTTTCCTGCTTTCCTCTGGTGCTAACTTATGCATTTGCATCTTGCAGATTTTTCATCGTTTAACAGTACGTTCTGCTTGTGTAAAAACAAGCAGTACCACTCTATCACCACTGTAACACACCTGCTCACACTGAATAACTCATAGGTGACTTCAAAACTTTGTAATAGTGAATCTCACCTTTGACCTGAAGAAGCGGATAACCTGAGCGATATCAAAGTTGAGGTCAGCACACAGCATGTCGCCTGCAATCTGCACAGAAAGAAAAACACACAATGTACAGTAAACATATCATCAATGGACTTTAGGGTTTTTTTTAAATAAATGCTATGTAGTGTATTTGCTCCATTAAACCCATTAAATGCAAAATTGATTATTTTTAAAGTCGTTTTGCGAAACCTTAGTTGCTAATTAATTACTACAAACTGTTTGCTGTTGAAGTTTCTGGTGTAGTGAGTTCTTTAGGTTTATGGCAAATATGGAAAATGGCTGATTCTAAAAAAGTTGCAGGGTGAAAAACAAAAGATGTACAACAGAACCTTGAGGTACACCTGTAAAAAGGAGACCTGTAATCTCCCTAGTGAAACAGATGTATCTTACCACCATGATGTCATCCTCCAATTTGCGACTGCGTATGACTAGCTCCAAGTCAGCCACGGCTCCGAGGCGGTTTTCTAGCGTCGTGCTACCATCGTTCACCACGTTTTCCACAGGAAAGTCATTAGCGGTAGCCCACCGCTCGTAATGCTTATACCTATTCAACAAATAACAAAGAAGAATCAAGAAGCTTAGGAGTAAATGTGATAGCAGCCTATAGAAAACGTCATACTAATGTGCTTACTTGTCAGCATTGGTGACCAGATAGACTTCTGTGAACAACTGTCGCCTACAGAGAAACCAGTATATACAGTCAATACATTATTAGCAGTGCTGTACAATACATCTATTATCATTTAGGATTTTATTTAGGACAGTTTTAGTGGTGCTGAAGATACTTTATACTGTTACCCACATGTTGACAGTTTCCCACCAAAAGTCAAGAATCTTTCTTCCCCCAATGCCAGGAAGAAGAGCCTTTGGTATTCCAGTCAGGTGGCTGTACAGGCCTGTGTCATCATTCTGAGGAGGGGTAAATACAGTAATTAAGTAAGTAATTCAGTAATGTGTATATATAAGTATATATACAGTATAAATATACACAATTGTAACCCAAGGAAAATCAACACCAGCCATAATTTCTTTTTAATTACGTAAGCCGCCTAAATAATACTAATCTTCTTATAAATATTGCCTACAGCATATAGCGGCATTTTGAAAATAATTATATTTTCCTAGAGGAGCCTTAAGTTTGTTCAGAACTGTCATTATTGTCCTGTTGTAATTCAATGGACACCAGGTGGCGGTAAAGAGTCATTTCGGTTTTAAGTGATGAACTGACGATAACATTAAAACTAGTCTTACTAGTCTTAACGCTGTCACGGTTCTACAGTTAACGACAATACTATCTGTGTGTCAACAATATGTCGTGAAAGAGTCACATCTGCGAAGGAGTCACTTTACGACTAACGCGAACTTTGCACCCTTTTTAGCACAATGTTAACGCTCCTTACCTTGATGTGTGTTTCTAAGACAGTGCCGTGCCCGGCTACCAGTAGAATACAAATCATTTTTCTTTCACAAGTTCACTTTTAAATCCGTAGCAGCGTAGTTCCTGAGAGCAGTGTGAGAAATGTCCATGTAGCTTCATAGATAGCGGTGAATACATCTCTTTCCGGACACTTTCACAATAAAAGTCACCTACTAAATCGTTGCTGAAACTGTTAGAGCAACTTGTTTCAATCCCAAACCTAGAAAAGTACGGTGATTTGTGTTATTCTGAAATCCAAGTTATTTTCCTTGACACGGTTCTTATCTGTTCATCTATTGTATTCAGACGAGGTGTGTAAAACATACATGCACTGTTTGAATTTCTGAAGTTCACTAGTGCAGCACTCTGTGTTTGGTCAACAAATCTAAAAACAGAATATAAACAGAGCATTTATACTGAAGAGAAACAATCATTAACTCGCAGCCTTAGTCATGAGCAGTTCAGATACCCATCATGACTCAGCAAAAAGGTAAAAATCAAACACAGCGGGATACTCTTTCTTATTTATGAACTTTAATAAACAGAGCATAAAGTGGGTTTATAGACAGCATATTAATTATGGACTACATGAATGAAATGCCATGTTTTAACCTCCTAATGCAACACTAACCAAAAACCCTCTAGTTATATTGCAGCAGTGTGTTTATAGTCTCCAGTTAGGAATTGTTAAACATTCAAGGATACAAAGCAAATCAAGCAGTTCTAAAAACATGATGTGGACTGGTCAAAATGATATTTATGAGATATAAAATAAATTTTTGCAATAAAATTTACACTAGTGCGCTTATAAAGGGATGAGGAAAAGCAAGCTGATGTTAGAAGTTGGTCGAGCTGTAGAGCTTACTGTACTGGATGTTCATGTAAAATACGTAGGCTCCTAAAGGAAACTATTGAATGATGATATTACTTAAAATTATTTGACATGGTATTTTTTTTTTCCGTAGCAAAGAGTGAATGTGGATAATGGCAATGATATAAAATTTGAATAACAAGTTACATGCACAAAGTTACAATTTAAGCATCTCAAAGATTTTTCAAGTACTCTTTTGGCCCATGTGTGGTTGTCGTCAAAACAGCCGATGGCAACAGACTTATCACTGGGGATCTGTGCTGGATGATCCCACAATTCCATGCTGCCGCAGCAGATTCCTCAGGATCTGATTCTTGGACTTCCAGTCTTCTACCTGAACAAGAGCAAAGCATACAACAGTTATAATCTGTACGTTTACAACATTTTGAAAACTGTTTTAGTTTAAATATATAGGACTTAAATACAACCACAATAAATAGACAGATATTTTTCTCAATAGGATTAAAAAGAAAAAAGATAGCACAGCTACTTCAATTAGCAAACAAGAGATGTGTGCCTGCCTGAAAAAATACTTATTTACACCTTGTTAAATATGACCTGGTTAAATCACTAACTTGTATCTGGTAAAGAATTAAGTTGCGATACATTTGTGATTGTAATCAGATTTTGAGTAGTTAAAAGCATAGTTTGTCTTTCTAGGCTCACCAAACACTGTTCTGTTAAAAAACAAAAACAAACAAAAAACAACTTCACAATTCCTCTTCTGAAAACTTAAGAAACTGTAGCACACACAGCGTCTTACCTCCTGTCTGAGCAGCTGGTTGTCCATCCTGAGACGATCCAGAGTGCCGATGTCCTCCCCCAGCTTCAGGTTGCTTTGTCTGAGTTCTTTGATGTACTCACAGGCTTTGGACAAGATTCCTCCTTTGCTCTGTAGAGGAAAATAAGAAAATGCTTAGACCTTTTTTTTGTTTTATTTGACAGAGTTTTTTTCCAGCTCGTATAAAATGATGGATGAAGTTTTTCAGCCGTCTCTCAAAATCTCAATGTATTTTTTATTTATTTATGTTTTTCTAATCTATAGAACACAAAACAGATCGTTTGTATGACAAAGAAACCAAACAAAGGACAGGAATGCAGTGGAATAAATAAAAATAAAGTATGAGATGCCTGTATGATAGAGTGACCTTTTAAACAACAATGTTATTTCAGACACTGTACCCAGACACAGCTAGAGTGTGTGTGTGTGTAAAGTGTCACTGGTCTCACCTGTCCGGTCTTGGTGTAGTCTACGTTACAGTCTGGAATGGCCTTCGACAGCTGAACAATCCAGTTGTTGATCTTGTCACGCCGTCTGCGCTCGACTATTGCAAAAATTGAATTTTAAGATGAAATAAATAGTGAAAAAAGTAAAATAAAATAATAAGAAATAAAAACAAAGCATGACAGGTCATTTTAAATTCTGTCCCTTGAAATCATGACCCCTGACCTTCGTTGTGCTGTGCTCGTCGTTTCTCATCTCTGGAACCCCGAGGAGCTTCTTGCTTACTAAAAAAACCAAGACAGAAAATTTGGTAATGTATGGAGACAAATTGACGTGATTGAAGTTCATATTGACAACGCTTTGACTTAAATTGTATTGGAATTACGCTATGTATGGCTGAGTGCGAGGTGCGATTGTCCGTTGATTGGATGTCAAAACTTCCTGTGGTGACATCATCACGTAAAGCTGTCCTGTAAAACAGAAATATAAATCAATGTAAGACAAAAAAAAACATAAATGCAATAAATAGATTTTGAATATGTATTTTGGATTCTACAAAGCCACTGCGTATGTACTGCTACAAACAGCTCACGGTGTAGTGGGTATGGGCAGCACTGACCTGTAGGTGTGGTCTGGCCCAGCAGTGTGTCGGAGGCCTGGACTGTGGTCACCATGGTGCCTGTTGTAGCATCAGCAATGGAAGCAGGGTAGTAGGTGTACTGTGTCTCAGTGCTGCTGTCTCCCTCCAACCCCTCAGACTGAGAGAACACAGCCTGAAGTCAAAGACACGTCAAAGGGATAGTTCATGTTTTTCTAAGGTGGGTGTTGAAACGTTTTTTTTTATGTATATATATATATATGCAAATATATATGCACTGTTTATGTTAGAGCCTACTATGTTAGAGTCTACTTTATGACTCTACTCTACTTTGTGCCATCTAGTGGTGAAGTGGATAATACATGAACTTTACTTAGAGACAATATCGAAGAATCAAAAATACTGAGCTGTTGCAATAAATACTAATATATTTCTGTACACTGTAATAATCCATATTACATTAAAAGAAATATACTTTTTTTGGACAGCTGTTTAGACAGAAGACTTTTTCTTACCACACCTAAACAAACTTAAGACATGCAAGACACATGATTTAAAGTCACAAGATGAGACCTTTAAAAATCATGTGACTTACAAACTCCAGCAGCAAGCCTGCTCACAAATCAATATTTATATATAGTCAAACACAAGGAAAAAAAGGTTAAAATCATCCCTGCAAAGGCATTGATAAACATTTAGATGATTTTAAAATTTTGATAATTAAAAGATGATCTTGTTGTTGTCACTTAGTTAATCATGTCATTTCTGCGCTGATGGTTGTTTAGACTGTGTTGAAGACTTGAACGCATTTTGTCCCATGACCTTTGTTGTCACTGTCTATCAAAACATTTTCTCTTCGGATGTTCGTTTTCAGACCCATTCGTATCACATGATGTGAAAAAAGTCAACACTGCTGCATCCGATTGACAGAGAGGCCTGCTTCTGTGAGAGCCTTGCAGACAGAGCAAAATAAACCTACTCTAACCCGTGCATGTATGCATCAACTGTAGTCCGTTGAGTTCTTACCTGTGTGACTGTCTGACCGGTCGCGGGAAAACCAGCCACCAGGCTGACTGCTGCAGCTCCATCAGCCTGAGCCTCCAGCTGACCGTCTGACACCTGGATCACTCTGTAGGTCACCTGTGCCATGACAAAATTATATTCTGTGCTATTATCCACCATTTGACTTGTACTGTATGTCATGTAGTCAGTGGAAAAACACTGAAACGACCAGCCTGACTTTATGTGTACTTGCCATTGATGGGAAATGCTAGTCATTATCCTTTCTTCAGTTCCTGTAAGTCCTTGAAAATTGTATGCATTGTATGAGGCCAACCTGCACCCGTATTCTTGTACGCGCACACACAAATGTATCCAGCTCACTATAAATGTAACATAATGTGACTAAAAAACATATCTTTTTAGTTGCTACAGTTCCCTTGCTGTATATAAGAGAGGAATTAAAATTGATTTCTGACCAGAGCAATATTATTTCTCAAGTGCATTTCTCTTGCATATTTTAGTACATACTCAGGAAACAGCAAGTGTACAATGCAATCTTTTGTCGATACTTTCCTGCTCACAGATGCAAACACTTCAGCTTCTTCAATCCACAATTGGTTGAAATTAAGAGCCTGGAAGGGATTTATTGGCTGACACTTGTGACTGCAGCTTGTCATAGTTATTGTATGAGGATAAAGGAGGAATTGTGCTGCACAACGAACAGGGTTCATTTCCTGCCATAAATATCTGTTTTGATTGGTATTTGTAATCACACTGTGCAGTTACTTTAAGATGTTTTTATTGACTGATTTGGTGCAATTTCTGCACGTACAGCAGTTGTGTTGCAACTGACGCCTGACACATTCCTCTCAATGTGTTTATCAGAGAGTTGGACATTGGAAAAGGGTTAATTTGAACTTGGAACTACATGGATGGCCTGAGGTGTCTGGACTTTTTTACTAACACTTCAATTTAAGGTTAATAAAATGTCGAGTTTCTGATGCTTTCCTAGAATTTGAACCAAACAACCAAATAACTGTTTAGAAGAGAATATCAGGTGGTTATATAATTTGTTATACATTTTAAATTTAACTAACACATATACGTATGCATCGAATTTGTGCACATATTGTTTAAAATTATAAAAGTGGCTCATTTCATCCTACCTGGCCTCCTGCTCCTTCTGTCTTAAAGAGATATTTGATTGGTTGATCACTAAAGGTGGCTGCAGACTGAATGGTGGTGATAGCTGCTGGGTCTTCTGCAGTAGCCACAGAGCCTGCAGGAGCACAGAGACAGATCAACCAGTGCTGATGTAGGAAACAATAGAGCGACACAACTCATGATAACACCAAAGGTAGGGAATGTGAATAAATGAGTACAAAAGCACATTGTCATGGTTACACTGTTAAAGTACTGTTAAAGGACTCACAGCAGTTATATGTGAGCCATGACGTCCTAGAAAGTTTAGGTGGGTTTGCATTGGCCTGTTTTTACAATTTGGCATAAAAAAAAAATAGTTGCAAAAAAACATTTGACAAAATGACTGTACATTTGACAGTAGCCCATCGTGCTTTGGGCTACTGTATAAAAACGTCATGGTAAGAGAATGGATGAATTATATTATAGCAAAATTATATTCTGATACAAGGAAACTTTTGAATATTTTATCAATCTCCTACCAATTAACCTGCAGTTTTTACACCTTAAACAACAGTTGTATGAACACGAAAAATAACATTCCTCTTAGAATTCCTCTTTTATACAAATGTGCAACAGCTTTAAATGTAAGAATGACGATATTAACGACCTTTTTTACACAGTCGACGATTATCGATTATAATTGCTAATGAAATAACACAATTGAATTACCTTGTGGTGACGGTTGCTAGCATGTTTCATCGTATCACACAACAACTGACAATGACATTTTTACAATACAATATTTCTCATTTCCTTTACCTTCTTCGTTGACAACAACACTGCCATCCGTGTCAGGGCTCTTCTGTTGGCTGGACATATAAAATATAGGAGGTCACGTGGTTACAAACTTAATGTTCCTAATGTGTTGTTCGTGGTGTTTTGATGTCTCCTCACTCACCTCTTCATTTCTGACGACTGCTTCGAACAGGGAGACCGCCTTCACTGCTCCCACGGCTTCAGACTAAAACACGTATTTATATAGTTGGGACGTATACAAAAGGGAATGGTGATACCCATATTACAGTGTGCGAAAGTAGTGGTAAATGTTAAACGGCAGAGACATTGTAACTTAAGTTTTAGAGCAAAACGGTGTTTAAAGACAAAAAGGTTGATAGAAAGCCGGAGGTTTACGCTAAAGAAACCGGAACCTAGTCGGCGCGGCTATCATAACAAAAGCACATATCAGATTGAAATAAACTTACATCGAACATATATGTGGCAAAACCACGTTGTCGAAAGTTTTATATAAAGAACTGACTTAGATTTAAAGGATAGCAAATTACTTCCTGGGTTTTCATGAAATCTTTGTGTTACTATACTATTTTTTAAACGCCGGAAGTACAGTCATTTTGTGGCGAATGCATTGACGCGACATCTCTCCCGCTACTACATTACCGCCTGGCAACTGCGATTTCTACTGATGTTTAACAAATCTATTTCTCTCGACGCCAACCAGATGAAAACGGGCTGCCCAACTGTTCACGTCCGTTTTAGACAACATTTGATGAACTACACTATCCACAAAACAGCAGTTTTTGTTTGATATATTCCAGTCGGAACAAAGATCTACTTACGCCGCAGTGGTCCCTCCCCCGATATTTGTCAACAGAGCAGCCTTGGTGTTCGCTCTGAGCATGCGCCACAGGAAACCGTCGACAAAATCTGCACGACGTTTCGACTACAAAGACTATAAGGTTGATGTGCAGCTAGTCTTAAATTCAAAGGGATTAAGAAAAATTCTGACATCATTCAAATTATGATTGAGGAGCAATTTTATAGTGTATGTTTTGTATTTATGCCCCATTGACCTGCCGTAGAGATACTAGTCGTCGTTTATTTTCTTTACAACTTTATCCCTATATTTCAATAAGCATACTTTTTTAACGTCAAAACAGTAAGAGCTACACTATATTGCTTCTGCCCCGTTAAAATAAAATAGACCACGAAGATAAATATTTGGCGAATATTTGAAGAAAATATTTGGCGTACACTCACGTAAAACTTTTATATATTACTTGCTAACGTAAAACAAGTCACTCACACAATTTTTAGGTTGTTTTGTACTTTTCCAAATAAAGTATAAAATTACATTTTTAATAAATGCATATCAATATCTACTATATGATTATGTGATACATGCTACAGAGCTGTTTACAACAATACAATAAATTGTGATTATTATCAAATGCTGCTACTTATGTCCAGATTTACAGATACAGAAAAAAAGATAAAAACAAATTACACTATTCTGTTTATATTTGACAGAAACTAAACAAAAACGCTGGACAGCGCCCGTGGTTCGATCCCGCGAAGGGATGAAGCTGAGTATCCTCGAGTGAGAAAGTTCAACGAAGTAACCACTGAGCTATACCGGCGCGGTGGCAAACGGCGAACTGTGGCCTTATGACCATGTAATAGGTGAGTCACCGCTGCAGCGCGTCTTTATAAAGACGTTTGTCTACATCCAATTTGTTTTCCGTCAACACGACTCACAAAGTAAAAAATAAGAGTCTTTTAATATATGACAAAACAAGTTACATTTGGAAAAGTAAGCACCCTGAATGGAACTGTACTCTCTTATTTTTGCTTTAATGACAATCAAAGCCACATATATTATTCAGTAATTAAAGGGCAAAAAGCAGTGACTCCAAAATTTCAAGACTTTGTGACAAAGGCAGGTTATAGAAAATGTATTCAATTTCTGCAAACAATCTAGAAAAACTACATAATACATAATTATTAAATCAATTCACCTGTATCATCACCACAAATAGCTTTTTAAAAAATGTTTTATGTAGAATTATCAGTTAAAGTAGTAATTGTTTAAGATAAAGTAATAATGCTGACAGATAGCCAAAGTGTAGGGTGACAAAAAGTGCCAATAAATATGTAATAATTAATAAATAACTAATATTTTAATGTGCATTTAATTAATTTTATATTTTCGTAAATGACTTTTTATTTTGACAGTCACAGAAGAGGAAGTTGTCCATACTCCTGTCTTACTGGTGTGAATTTCATTAGGAGTAGTGTCTTCTTGCGTAGATAGGGGTCTCTATTGAGCATAACTAAATAAGTGTTCCTGGGGAATTTGCATTTTCTTTTCCTCGCATTTGTGTTCGTTGCCGTGTTTTTATCGGTTAAGCTTTCTGTTACTACGCATTGATCTGCCCACCAGAAAAAAAAACCCATAGAAAAACACAAATCAATGGCCACAAAACGCTGGGCAGCGCCCGTGGTTCGATCCCGCGGAGGGAAGGTACTGGGTTTCGCAATTGAAAAGTCAGTGAAGTAACCACTGAGCTAAACCAGCGCGACAACACTACAGCATTTTACACTTAATAAACATAAATGTGGACGCCATATCGTTAAATGTGATTTTTTTTCACATTTTGTTGAATGGACATCAAAACTTCAACTGCACTACTGCCATTTATGTTATGATATTTTATTTTATTTTAGCGTTGTATTTTTTATAGCTTTCTGGAAAAAAACAGGCTCTCTGTAGAATGGTTTGTATTTCATTGTGTTGTTTCTAATCATATCCTCAGATACAGCATTTCAAGTTTTTACCCAGAGGTAGGCGTGCTAACCGCTACACTTTGTTACATGTAACATAATATATATTAAAACCTTTCCATTCATCTGTTTGACACATTTGGGGCCCAAACAGCCTGAACATCACTATACGGCACTGTCTTGTCTTAAAGAAACAACTTTTTAAAAGTCATCGGAGTGAACAACTTCATTTGGATGTGTTGAGGTCAAGGAATGTTGCAAGGCCTTGACTAGAATTGAACCATTTGAGCAGAAAGATCAGCTGTCACTCTTGAAACAATTAGCAAACTGTTCATAAAGACACTATGTTTATTGTTAAGTGTCACACTTTTTCAGAGTGAAGATAGCACAAAGCTAAACATGGTTGCACTGTGGCACAGACATCTAAAATAAAAAAATATATAATTTTACAGTCTACATGGACTACTCACTGCTGGAAATTTTTTTTTTTTTATTTATTTCCACGTTGGTTTATGATGCTGGGACATCGTGTCCAAGGGCTAGATTTACCTGAGATTGGCCCTAATTCCCTCAGTGACCCTTTAACAGTATCTCAACTGAAGAGAGACAAACACCAGCAATTTCAGAATGACATTCACCCATCATTTAAATTCCATATGCATTAATTATTAATTAAGGTTGATGTTTGATGGTCCAATTGTTTACCTAATCTGCATTAATTTGCTGCTGCTGAGTAGAATAACACTGTTAAAACGTTACACGCTCGATATGGTGAAAAATGAAAAACACTTCTCAGCATGCAAGGAAAATGTGTGTATGTAAACATTATCAGAATGGATTTGAATCCAGACCAAGCTTCTGTCAACCGCTGTGTGCGTTTATGACAAGAAGCTTCCACATGGACACAAGCAACGCAGGCCACAGTGCAGCTGGAGCACGTTGAATATGTAAACCTGTGGTCCCTCTACATGGCTTGATCCTTTCTGAGTGGGGGAGAGAGAGGGAGAGAGACAAAGAGAATGAATGTTTGAGAGACCCAGCAATAATCACCAATAATCATTCCATATTTGTCTACCTTCAATAACTACACAGACCCACGTCTTCTGATTGTTCCCAGAAATTACATTTGAAAGTCTTTTAAAATAAAGTTTATTAATATCTGGAAGTAACCAGATTAAAAACTAATACATCCATTTTCTATTTGGCCCAAATCAACGCACATCCCTTGTCAAAGATTCTCCCCAAACCTCCAGAAGTCAATTATAGAAGAACTGTAAACATCAGTGATGTAAGTGAAATTACCATGACAAAACAGAACGGTGAATTCATGATTAAATGGAAATATAATGAACTGAAGGAGACTAAATGGCAACCAGCCAGAAAACACGACTCCTCCACCACTGATGTTGTCATGTCATCTGACTGTAGAGAAATCATCTGCCACAAAAAACATTTTGTGCATAATAAGATCAGGATGAGCTCTGTGACTCATCTGGAATATTAAGTTTGTTTCACCGTACATCTTTGGAAACATCTCGTACAACCCATTAGGAGATTGCCTGGATTTCCTCAAAGCAGCTGATGTGAAAAGGTTTTTATATTTATCCTGTTCAAAACTATAATCCAGCTGATGTTTACAGGTGGAATAGTTGTATGCCTCTGGAATATATTTTCCACCATGGCTTTACTGGTGTTTAAGTCAGTTTATTGTCAACTACAACCAGTTTCCACAGACAGCAATAGACACTTTAAAATTAATTTCCTCTATTGAAAAACAAAGAGACTCACTCCTGACATATGGGACAAAGTTGTTTTTGTCTTTTGAAGAGTTTGCTCTTTCTTTGAACGACCATGTCATTGGTCAAAGTCTCCTCTCCCCCTGAGACCCCTCTTTATTTATTTGTGTGGATTTAGACAGAGGCCAGACAGACTGTCAATCCACATCATTCAGATTTTGCAGTAATGGTTTAAATAATATATTGAAATGGTAATATGGTAATGGTAAACTTAACTTTTCCCAGTACGTATTGTGTAATCGATAGAGATTTCCTTCTCTTCCTTTCTTTGTTTGCGAATTATGGTGCAGTTGTATCTCGTGGTTTTATTGGCATAGAGCTGAGGGTGATCGGGAAGTATAAGCCAGCATTCTTGGTCAGTCTTGTTGCCGATGAAAACGCCGTCTGATGTTTTAAAGTAACAGCTGAATGATGGAGATTGTGAACAATTTGCATAAATGCAGTCCAACCTTGAAAAGAGCAAATACGTTATAATGATCACTTGGTTATTCGCTATTTTACACATGGAAAATGTGTTGAAACTACGTTTGATTTAAATGTAGAGTGTGCTTTTACCTCAGGCTCCTGTTCATTGTAATGCAAGCAGTAAAAATACCAAAATCCCCTTGTTTTTTACTAGACGACCCTGAAATCAGATAGTTAGCAGTTTATATGGAATACTGTGATCATTGAAATGAAGTATGGAGAAATGACCAAAAACAAGACTTTATTACAGAAAATAGACAAAGTAGGCTGCATTATTACAATTTTATGGATGCCAAAAGAAACGGCAACAAGAAGTTGGGGTGAAATAGTGGCAACAGTTGAGTTAAGCCAAATGGAATCACTTTAAACAGTTGAGTTAAGCCAAATGGAATCACTTTTATTTTTTATTTTTCTCACATGTTATTTTGTGGAATGCCTCTAGTGGGGCATCACAATAACAGAAGGTAATTTGTTAATTCCATGACAAGAGATACGTGACAGGACCTAAAATAGTTTTTTGGGGAAATCGGCTGCATGTATCAGTTGTTATCAAAATGGGAAATAAAGTGTTTGGACAATATTTGCATATTGGATAAAAAGTTAATATCGGACTATGATTACAGTTATAAAAATTTGAACTCAAATGAACTCAAATTACAATAAATAACCTTTATCAATAACACAACATTTTGAAATGAAGAACTTTATCACAGCCACATTTGTATACAAAATTAAAACAAACATTTTGTTATTTCACTGGATTGGTATTATGTTCAGAGAAATCGAATTTTGACCAAATTTGTTGTGGTTGATCCCTGCCCAGCAGAAGTGAATGGTCTGAGAGTGAATAAAGGCGTCCACTCTCATTGACAGAATCATTCACTCAAATCGAATTAAAGCAGGAAGTGCTGATTGATATGCTCATTAAGAAGCAGCACAAACCACTGAATGCTCTCTGTTCCCCCCAGAGTCTACAGCACATCCTGTAAACCTCCTCACATTATAAACACAAATTTCTGTTTTTCGATTTTCCCTGTTGCTAGAAATGGCCCATATTCATCGAAAGCATTCTTACCAACAAAGCTGATGAAGAGGAGACACAGTGTGATGAACATATCTCACGCCCAACTGAGAAATTTCACTGAGGGAATGACAAAAACCATCTGATCACGGCAGCTCCACCTCATGTTGCTACTTATCAGGACAGTGATGACATATTAACATTGTAATCATTGTGACTGTCATCTTGGGAATCCAGAGCTGTTGATGCAAGTGCAATTAGGATTATCATCTGGATTAACAGAAATCATTTTAAGAAGATTAAAGAATTCAATATTCGTTTTTTTTTTTTTTTTGCATTATACTTCATGTAACACGTAAGCACTAAACTTGTTTTCCAGATGCTCTAACTTCACACCAACAGGTATATTTTGTTCTGGTCCAAGTAATTACACAGTTTGTTTACATGAAGGAAAAAGTGAAACGGGTGTAAATCTCTTACCGTTTGTCTGCTTTTGTCCCTCCCTCCTCTGTGACTTATGACAGCTGAAGGCAGAAGTCATAGATTGCATGTAATGGGCTGTGCAGGGCACTGAGAGGGAGGCTGCCGATGTGCTGCTTGGTGGGAGGGTAAGATGGAAGACAGCGTTAAAGGAACACTTCAGAATTTAAAGTGTCGTTGAATGAGGTACCAACACAAACATATGTTTTCGCTCACTGAGATGATAATGATAATGATAATGATAATGATAATGATAATGATAATGATAATGATAATGATAATTATAATGATAATGATAATGATAATGATAATGATAATGATAATGATAATGATAATGATAATGATAATGATAATGATAATGATAATGATAATGATAATGACAGCAATTATTATTTCTATTATTGTAGAAAATAAATCTAAATTGGAAAAGACTGTCTTTAAGGTCTTGTCTTTATTTATTATTTATTAATGTTGTGGATTTTGTGCTGAAAGCTTTGATTTCTTTGCTTGTCTTGGATTCAGAGAAGTCACTTGTTAAAGATCAAGTACTAATTATGTCTAGAATATGCTGCCAGTGGCAAAACAAACAAACAAAAAAAAAACAACCTGTTAGAACGTAATTGTTTCTATCATCCACTGTTTACTTGAGAACGTTCACTTCCTGGATGACTGAAGAAAAAGTATTAGCCAGCCACACCCTAAAATTGAAAGATAATCCTGGATGTTGACAAAAGGCTTCCCTGTAACAAGCTGAGAACAGGTGCTGTGTCTTATTACAGCAATGGTAATTAATGACGCAGTGATGAAAAAAAAAGACTCACAAGGATGGATATATTTTTGTGACACTTGTGAAGCAGACAATTAGAACATTTTATTCTCCCTCTCTCTGGGATTTCGGCAGTGATCTGCAGAACCAGCCACCGATGGATTGGATCATTTAACTTGCTGTCTGGTTTTGATGGATGCTCCAATCAAGATGTTGAAACTTGAAATGATTAGCTTTTTATCAGACCGGTTCCAGTGGAACGCAAATTAAACATGAGCACCAAACAGTACCATGAGATTCAGACATTTACACGGCTTGGTGACTTGGCTCCCCTAACATCCAGCCTTGTTGTATTTTACTTTTAAAACGACTTTCATCAATTGGTTTCCATCGCCATGAACGGCATTAAGTGTTGTTTATCTAAAGGGTTACAGCCAACTAGACAGACTTCCTGTTTGACAGTGATCTGATTGGAGAGAAATAAAGATGTTCCACCAGTATCTACATCTGATCTGCCTACAAATATAAGGACATATACTGTAAAAAGAAGCCGTTGAAGGGGAGTTGCTGTAACTGGAATAAAATTAATGGAAATTACACAGTGGCTGCCTCCAAACGTGGAATCTTTTTTAGAACCTGGAGTTTGGGAGGTGGAGTCGTAGAAGGTGGAGTCGTTAAGATATTTCACCTCTTATCTAAGATACCTCTTCATGTCTGTAGCTACCGCATATTCCTGATCTACCTGTTATCACTGGTTGAGTATTGCAGGTCTTTCAAGTCCAGCCGTAGTCGTCGGGGGTGACATTCGTCAACATTTTTATCACATTGAAAGACCAACGTGTGACTAAGTAACCACTTTTTATTGATAAAAATGTATCTGTAATTTACTGTGAGAAACTTGAGAAAGGTGTCATGTTATGTTATTTTATAATTAATGTGGAGTAGGGCCATGGCAGTGAGGGACCAGAACAATCCGGATCTGAATGCAGTCAAGGACACTGCACAGCTAATATTAAAGAAAGCAGAAGGACTCTTTGACCCGTGGACTCAGGGAAAGGAGAAAAATAATAAAAGCTGTTATAAAACATGGATGAAGCAATAAGTTGAATATCGTGCGTGGTACCGGGAAAACAAAACCCTGAAAACTAGGGGACAATGCAATGAATTCCAGGAGGTCGTAAAAGATAGAGAGAACTGGCCATCTGGAATGTATTTTTTACTTGGCAAATGCAACACTAGATGGAGTCAGACGATGGAGTGAAATCCATGTGTGGAAATTGGGAAATGTGTTTATTATAAAATAGAGGCTTTATAATAATCAGACTAATCTTCTCTTAGGTTCTTCTCAGACCTTCATGAAATGTTTTTTTAACTGCAGAACTCCTGCCTTCCAGCAGAGGCCAGTGGTCTAGAAATACTATTTAAAATATAGTTTGTTATTGGTTCATCCTGAGTCATTTGCCTGCTTTGACTTTTCATTATAAACATTTGGTTTAGCCATCTGACACAGTTTTATTCTTTATTATGATATGATGATCCAACATACAGTAAAACAATACACAATATATAATATATATATACATACTGTATATGTATATACAAAAAGTGTATATATATCTATATATACACCATATTTCTAACAACACAAGAAGGTATGTATGTGTATATATATATATGTGATATATTATATATGAATATATATTTACTATATGCTTCTTTAGAGCATTTGTCATAATAGCTGTATCATAGGAGCATTAGATTTGGATATTATTTTAATTACCATTCACATGGACTCAGCTCAGTGTCTCTACATTCATGGAATTCTTTCTAGCTTAAAACCTGCTTTACTGGAACATACAATATGTTTACTACAGCCTTTGCTCAAAAAGTCATGCAATCGAACAGTGCTTAATTCATCAGTCATGTTGTTTACACTGGACGAGGACTTAACCTTGTGGTCTTTCTCATTTTTGCAATAATTAACAGCGTGTTTCAACAGCAGCTGCTGCATATTAAGTAAGAACACTACAGAGCACGGGTCAGAAACCCGTTTACTTCATCAGATAAGAGGCTGTGATTGCAACAGTCAGATAAGTGATGAACCAACATCCTCGATCAGGACCAACAGGAATTTTACTTGAAGTCATTTGCAGCCAAAATGTTGTATAAGATTCTGTTACATTCTGTGTTAATTACAAATAGTTTGTTTTAGTGTGTGGGTTCACTTTATCAGCCCACAGAAGTTTACTTACTGGAAACAAGGCAACTTTAGCCCCAGTGATCTGTTTGACAGCTGTTTGCAGGACAAACTCAAACAACTCATGTTGGGTCAAAGGACAATGTTTGCGGACTCAGTTACTGTAATATTGATTACTCTTCCTGCTTGCAGAACACTGTCTTCGTAGATATTCGTGGTGAAATAAAACTTTAACTGAAGTGACAACTTACTTTCGGTTTTTATGACACAGTTTAGAAGCAGAGAGACAGAGAGTAACTGGAGTGTATTTCTATTCCTACGTTGGTCCAGAGAACACATGAAACATGTTAGAACCTGTCAGGAAATGTCACTTTATTTAGAACTGGTATAGTAAGCAAGCAATAAGTGCAGAATTTTTGATCTGAAGAATTCTTCCAATCAGATAACATTATTAAGCAGGTACGGGTTTAGAGTCTGCATAAGCGTACTGGTTTCTGTGGTAGATTCTCCAGCCTGGTATAACTGTGTTCTTTTTACATTTTATAAATAATTGATTATAAACCTATAAAATGTACGAATCAGAGCCTTCACCGCAGAAACCAAACAACTACAAAATTCAGAGAACAAACTTAGTTTCACTCAGTTGAACATTCCAGCAGTTTAGATTAGTTTACTGTCATTAGGTGTTTACTGTGCAAAGATGAAGTTACATGAAAAGATATGGGGGTCTTTAAACTGGTGTGAGGGGGCCAGTGTGTGTGGGTGTGGGTGTGGGGTTGGGTCAGTGTGTGGGTGTGTGGGTGGTGTGGGCGTCTCCAATGGAGGCTATTTAATGGCCGTAGACCCTGTTGAGAGTACTCGTCAGTCATGGGTCCTCCCGGGAAACAGGTTTGGACGTGGACACTATGTGTCCTCCTGAGCTGGATGTGTGTGAGTCAAGTGGTGGCTGGACCGTAAGTTGACCTGTTTAACGGTTGTTGGTATGGTTTTTGCTTTAAGTGAACACAACATTTTTGGCAACTTTGGTTTTTGCACTGTATGTTTAATATTGTTTTTATTATTATTATAATTATTATTATGTGTTGTTTAAATATTTTCATTTCATTCACTTCATTTCATTCACTTCATTTTCTCATATTACAAAGTTAATGTAAAAAAAAGTCACTATTTTTTAAGTATACATTTACAAAGGCAAGACAAAAAGTTTCAAAACAGATGATAGAATTTTAAAAACTGAAACATGTTAAGACAAGTTTTATCATTATCACTCTTTAAAGCATTAAGCTGTGTAATACTTTATTTGATCAGTTTTTTTTTTAATCCCTCAAAAGATTTTGAAATAAAAAAAAACAAAGAGGCAGGTGGTGAGCTGGTGTGTAAGACTTCCAACAGAATGAAAAAAAACTAAACTAAATACTTAATATATTATTATATAAAATAATTGAACATTAAAAATGGTCTAATTTAATCATTGTTGATGATAAAGTCTTGCCAGAAGATCTTGGAAAGTTAACTGGGTGTGTGTGTGTGTGTGTGTGTGTGTGTGTGTGCCTGTGATTCCATAGACAGTACCTGTTGGCCATTCCCTGGAACTGATACTCGATTCTGTGTGAGTCTCCTGCAGCCCAATGAGACTCTGACCATGACTGTCACTCTGATGCCGGAGGAGAAGATACTGATGCAGAAGGAATCCAACACAGTGTTCCATCACTGTGTCAACTTTGAGGTACGGTACTCAAGAATATATTTATGGCTCAGCTGTTTCTTTCTCCCAGGACACGTTATTCTATTGATTGAAAAATGTTGTTTGTCTTGTTGTCAACATTAATCCTTATACAGGTGCCTTTAGTGGAACATGGAGTGTTTGAATTAGAGGTGAAGGTGGAGGGCGCCACATTTCATTCAATGGATGTCAAAAAAGTTATGGCCAAAGTCTATAAACCAAGGATCTTCATCCAAACAGACAAACCAATCTACCTTCCTGGACAAACAGGTAAGGCCCAGCTAATGTTCTGCAGAGTTGCCGAAAGTCCTGATAATATTCCTCAATTGTTGAAAAAATCTGAATTATTCTATATTCATTACTAATATGTTATAATTTTATATTCACATATATTAATTTTTTTCTTACTCTAATATCAAGGCCTGATGGTTGACAGGTTTTGTTGTGAGCAGAGCCTCGAGTCATTCTCTCTTTCTCTTACATCCTAGTGCATTTCAGGGTGGTCACACTGGACTCCCAGCTGAGACCCTTAAAAGAAGTGGTGAGTGTTTGAACAGTGAAACAACAGATGTTTGGCTGACACAAACAGACATTATATAGGAAGCTATCAGACAGTGCAGATCAATATGGACTTGCTCTTTAGCCCCAGTTACTGTATGTCTCTGACGAGTCCAATTCCGATGAAGGGTCAATAGTACAACTCAGGTCTGTGTTCAGCTTGACCACGCTTGACCCCCCCCCAAAAGATACAACCCCCCCACCACCAAAAAAAAAACTGTACACACCTAAATAACAAAAATATCATATTATTTTATATTTTCAGCAAAGTGTAAAACCAGAACAATCTAATATTTCTTGATAGCTGGCAAGTTTTTTCAAAATAATACATTTTTCAGATTTCAAACGAACAAACTAAAACGCCAAGAATGTTTTATTTTGAAAAATGTACTGATCCGTTACAACAATCAGTCCTTCTGTGAACACTAGCGCTGCTCCAACGGTCCACAGAACCGGCCCGTACCGGTCAAGTGAAACTTAGAACAAATAGGGTTCGTGTTCTTAGTTTGTTACAGCCCTCTTGTTTTGAAGTTAATCATTACAGATTTTTTTTTTGTCGCGACATCTTTTAACCCCCCAAAAAACTAGCCTAAACTGGATTGTGGATACAGTGCACCGGCTAATTCATATTACGTCACAAATTTGGTGAGATTCCATCAGAGGTGTAACAAATAAACAAAACCTACATTTTACAACATATTGACGACTCTTTGTTATCAACTTTAAAAAAAAATCGTTTTCATGCTGAAATGTGTGAAACATTAACCAATTCAATTGCTTTCTCTCTCTCTTGCAGTATGATCTTGTCGAACTTCAGGTAAGACCAACAACATTCACACCTCTCAACATAATAATGTAACGCATTATACAGTATTCAGATTAGAGGAGGAACTGTGAATTAATCGTGGTAATACACTGGAGACAGCGGTGTTCAAAGTGGGGGGCAAGACCCCACATAGGGCACAAAGCTGTTGCCAGAGAAATATTTTGTTTTATTTTTATTAAATATTATATTTATTTATTTTTATTTTTAGAGAATTGCATTAATTTGTAATTTGAGAATTGGAGGAATAACAGTGTTTCAGATAAAGTCGAAAATTCAATAAATTGGAACCGGAATAATAAGGTGAAGAATATGTTACACCTAGATGTTATAAAATTCTACATATTTATTACATAAAAATTGTAACATTAGTAAGCAGTGTAATACTAATGTAAAATTAATTACATAACCCTATAAAATAAAAAAATTACTAATGTAAAATTAATTACATAACCCTATAAAATAAAATAAAAAATTCTACAGGACCCCACTGAGAACCGTGTTGCACAGTGGCTGAATGCGACATCCAACAGTAAAATACTGCAGCTTTCATACTCACTGAACCCAGAAGCTCGTGAGGGATCCTACCAATTGTTGGCTAAAGTGGACGGGAGACAACATTATTACAATTTTGTCGTGGAGAAATCCGGTAAGTTAAGATTTTCTTCTTCTTCTACAACACATTTTTATGTACGTGACACTTGACAAAACTGTGAGTCCCACAGTACAAAGTATTTCTTTGCTAATTACTTAAACTGACAAGAGCCTTTTTGCTATACACTTACAACTGCGCTGACCATGCCAAGTAGTTTAAATCTTTAACAATATCAAGTCACTGTTGAATTAATTTCTTTGCTGATTTTGATAGGCTCTATTTCATACAGGTACATTAATAGTCTTTTTTGTTGTTGTTATTTCTGGGTTGCCTTTTGGCTAGTTTTACTATTCAGCATATAATATGCTATTTGTTTTAACAATTTCCGTCCGATTTCTGTCCAGTGTTTTTGTTGTTGTTTTGGCTTACGTCAAGATGAAATTGTTAATTTTGGTAATTCTGCATGATTTTAGTTATATGACATTGTTTGTAATTGTAACAACATATGTTCCTTGTCATTTGCCTTTATTTAAGAATGTTTAAGGGCCCAATTAATTTTATGGGGCATTTTTCCTAAAATCCCATTGCTAATTCTGATTTTGGTACAGTGACAATCAGATTTCTCTCCGCAGTTCTGCCTAAATTTGATGTAGAAGTAAAAACACCCCAAAGGGTTAGTATTGGAAAAGAAAACGTTGAAGTCACAGCATGTTCAAAGTAAGTTACATGTACTTTTTAAACAAATAATACTGTAAGTTTTGATTTGGTTCCTCTTTAATTTATCCAATGTTTTTGTGAATAATTAGGTACACATATGGACAACCTGTACCTGGCCAAGTCAAACTGATGATGTGCCGACCTTTAAATAACTACTACTATGGTAGTAGTATTTCCATAGAAGAGGTCATCTTGCCAGAGTGCTATAACGAGACAAAGGAGGTACAGCACAGTCTCAAGCAACTTTTTTCCATAATTATCTGTGAAGTCACTGTGGTTTTAAGTATTTGAGAAAAGGAAGTAGTGCTCATTTATTTGTTGACCATTAAACACTGTTACACTGTTACACTGTTAAATTTAAGATTATTATTCAATCACATACTGTATAAAACTCTGCATTTAAGATGGAGGCCTGGGTACAATCACCCACGTTAAGGCTCTCTAGCCAGTCAAAATGTTGAATATAATTAGGAAAACAGCTAATAGCACTGGCCTTTATTTTACTTTATTTATTTGTTATTTCTAGGCCGACAAAGAGGGCTGTGCTGCTTTTGCCGTCCCCATGAAATTTTTCAAGAAACTTGACAGTAAAATACTGCGGGACAGGCTGCATCTAAGCGTTGAGGTTGAAGAGGAAGGCACAGGCAAGACAAACGATTGATTATTGACAGTATCATGGATTTAAAAAGTACTTTTTACACTATGTGTAACATAAAAACTTCTTTTACAGGCATAACACGCAAATACACAAATAATATAGGCATTGACTATTCTATTGGAAAGCTATTGTTTATTGACACACCCAAGTTGTACGAGCAGGGATCAACTCTAGAAGGAAAGGTAAGAACAAAGTGTTTTTATAGCGAATTTATTCCATCCATCCAGTTATTTTAGTGCTCTCTGCCCTGTCAGTGAATGTCTATTGTCTTTTCAACAGGTCAAAGCAGTTCACTACAATGACACGCCAATTGCTGACATGGACCTCTACCTGTTCAAGGGCCCAAAATGGTCCGGCAGGCACATACAGAATCTCACCACTGACCTTAATGGTATTGCGGAATTCTCATTGAACACAACTAGCTTCCTTGGGACCGTCACTCTCGCTGTAAGTGATGAAAATAAAAATAATAGAAATAATAATAATAATAATAATAACAGTTTGAAGTTGTACTGTATTTCACTGCCGACTAGATTGACAACACTATGGAACGGGATTACAAACCATATGGAACTCCATACTTTGAAGAGGGTGTACATGAGGTGTCTGTGGTCCAGGCATCCTCCCCTGACATCAAAACAGTCAGCTCAGTGAAAGTCAAGAGCAAGGACAAACCTCTATCTTGTGAAGAGGAGGAGAACTTCTCTGTGGAATACACTGTAGTGGGAGAGAAACCAAGTTCTGCCACATTAATGTTCCTGGTGAGTGGAGAACTTTTCCGTTTTTCATGCCCTGAAGATTTAGTGGGTGGGACGGTTGTTTCATTACAGATAAACAGACACTTTCTGCAATTCTCTTGTTCTAACATTGAGTTTAGTGCAGTATTTCTCAGGAGGTCACTGCAGCAGTTCAATCTTTCAGAACAGACAGATTCAATTGTGAAGTGTGTAAAAATGAACAAAGTTTTAATCTTTCTTTGGCTCAGCTTTTTTTACATGACGTACAACAAACAAAAGTAGGTCATCCCTACAGATTATTAGCATACTAGAAGACCGTATGTATAACTGGAGGTTACTATAGACCGTCATGGTGAAGTAACAATGTTCAACCAATACAAGTAAGATTGTAGTAAAATCATACTGTAGGAAGTGTGTTTTGTTTTGTTTTTTGACAATGTTACTTACTGTTCCTGTCCCTCTTGTCTTTCACCAGGTCCTGTCCAGAGGAACCATCGTCAGCATTGCATTTAGAGAGTTTGATGTGAATGATCAAAGAGGTGATTCAAACAGATGAGAGGAATGATATCTTATTTCATCAGAGAAGCAAATGTTTAATTGATTCTGCTGTAGCCGTTGTCAGGCTTGCCTTACACAGTAGTGCAGAAGGTCCTAGGTTCAAACCCCAGAAAAACCACATACTTAATGGCGCCACCCTTGATAGCCTTTATGGGTTACAATTTCCCCATTTTGTAACGAATAAGGGACACCATTTTTTTTTCAGTCAGAAATATTTAAGCAGGAGATTAAGGATATGAATAGAGATATGTGAAGTTTACAAACCGTTTACCTGTTCCCACAGTGACTGAGGGTGAACTCTCCTTCAAGTTATACATCCGCCCAGAAATGGCACCAGAAATCCAGGTTGTGGTGTATACCGTTCTTCCCAGTGAAACAGTGCTCGCTGACTCTGCTGACTTCTCCACTGAGAAGTGCTTCAAACACAAGGTCAGTGGAAGAACAAAGTAATGTGTCAGTTTGTAGTGATAGTGAAATAACATGTGCAGCTATCACAAAAATCTACACTTGTGTCGATGATTATCTTTTACTAAATGTTTCTGTTCTATGTTTTAATGTATATTGTATTCATTTAAAGTAAATTCAAACTAAATATATAAAAAGTCCTAAGAATTCCTGATACCAACTGCAATGCGTTTCATACCACTAGGGGTCGGCAAAGCCCTGCTTTGGAAAAACTGCTTCCCTTTCAGGACTCTTGAGAAAAATATGTCTATGTATGTGTGTGTCAGGTGTCACTGGAGTTTTCCAAATATTCACTCGTCCCTGGAGAGGAGAGCAACATGCAGGTATCAGCAGATGCAGACTCTCTGTGTGGCATCAGCGCAATTGATCAGAGCGTCCTAATCAAGGAGAGAAGAAAGGTTCTGGATGCTGAAAAGGTAAGTGCTGCAAGGATCCAAAAGATCCAAAAGTAACTGTCTCCATCCTGTAGGTTTTTGGTTATTATCACTAAAATTAGGGCACGTTGGAAATCTGTGAATTGAAGGAACAGGAAATGGTACAGGTACAAATTTACGGCTTAATTTCCTTGTAATAAAATCTGTGCCTCAACACAGTGTACATTGACCATAAAATCCTACAATAATGCATTTCATGATGATGAGAGATTTATGAGCAGAGATCTACTCGGTGTGTTCAAGGACAAGTAGCTTCACCTCATGGACTTCACCCAAAACCTGACTCGTATAGTTCTGAACTGAAGTATCTGTGGATGTTGTCTGATTTTTATTATTCACTTGGAAAGTTTGATTTAAATGTCAGTTTCTTAACCAGATAACTTAAAAGGTTTTTTTATTACACAGTGCAACGTACAGTATTTGGAACTTGACTAAATAAGAGTCAGTTGCAGAAACATTGCGTTATGGAGTGGTTACATCTATACAGTCTGATGTGGCCCCTGGGCAAAATTAGTTTGACTCCCCATAACTGTTCATTCCTGTCTTTCTCTGCAGTTATTTCAATTGTTGCCAGTCACAAAGATAAACCATATTCCATATACAGTGACTGATGAAGTGAGATGTCTTCATGTGAGACCAAAAAGATCCATTTGGCCATATCCTGGTGAGGGAGATGACGCATTCACGGTTTTCAAGGTATCTGTCAATGTCCAGTCTGAGGCCAATAATAATAGTATTGCTGCATACCCAATGATTGTGACAGCTTGTCTTGTATTGCAGAACGTAGGACTCAAGATGCTCACAAACCTGTTTGTCCAAATGCCACCGTGCCTCAAGTTCAGAGGCAGAGAATACACCCGTGGCACATATCACCGACGTGTGGTTTATGCAGACTATGACGGTATGGTTTCTCTATCCCGTATGGCTGCACCGCAAGGTCCTGTTCTCGGCATCAGCGGTTCAGCGATGAACCCCATTGAACCTGAACCAATAGTGACCGTTCGCAACTTTTTCCCTGAAACCTGGATTTGGGACCTAGTGGAAGTTGGGTGAGTTTCTACAATACTATAATATAAATGTATTTTTGTGGACAAATGTATAATTTTTTTCAAATGTATTTTCTCCCCCTTAAACTTCCTGGATTTAGTATTAATGAACCCACCTCCTGTATATTTGTTAGGTTATATTTTACCTATTTTTTAGTGTTTGTTACAATGGGAATGATTGTGAATAATTTTATATGTTGGGACCAATGTACCTCTTAGACTGCCCAGACTGTATTAAAGGGACTTGTTTCACTGATTTTAAGATATATGTTTTTGTTTTTTAATGTCTAGAAACATTTTTTCTAAAAGTTCATGGTCCTGATCACTAGTTTAGAGTGTTGAGAAGTCCACATTAACTTTTTTTTTTTACACCGCAATTACCCGAAGAAAGACAATAAACTGGGAGACAAACTTCCACATGAGTCTGTCTAATGGACTACCGCTACCACTTACATTTGTGGACAATAGGCCACTACTTGTTCGGGTCTACTTTTACTCTTCTCATCTTCTTTGTATTTGTCAATCCAGGTCTGCTGGAGTAAAGGATGTGAGCCTCACTGTCCCAGATACGATCACCACCTGGGAGACAGAAGCTTTCTGTTTGTCCTCTCAGGGTATTGGCTTGGCTCCACGTAAGAACATCACCGTCTTCCAGCCATTCTTCCTGGAGCTCACGCTGCCTTATTCCATAATCCGTGGAGAGCATTTTGAACTGAAGGCAACCACCTTTAACTACCTGAGCAGCTGCATCATGGTAATGCTTTCTTTAACTCAAAGAACAAAATGCCTGCCACGACATATTCACACTTCAGTACCAGTTTTTGATGTTAAAGAGATCAGTTTACATGGAATTTGATATTTTATTTAATCTTAAGAATATATGTTGTTTCACTTCTTTTTAATAATGTGGCTTTATAAAAATAACTAAAAAAGTAGCACTTCCGGCTTTTTTGTGTAGACATTGGTTAGTTCACAAACTGATTCTCATTTCTGCGCAATTTACATTTGATGCAATTGAACTTGTGTTTGTTTATGTCTCATCAACAGGTTAGCGTCAAGACAAAAGATTCCCCAGATTACACCCTCACCCCACTCTCTGGTGACCGGTATACATCTTGTTTGTGTGGAAGAGAGCGCAAGACGCTTAAGTGGAAAATGGATGCATCATCTTTAGGTAGGTTAGAGATTTTTTGATCCTCACCGAACAGTGGAGCGACTAGTTACAAGTTCTGCATTGTGTTTAACACACACACAAACCTTTTTCTTAGGTGTTATGAATGTGACTGTGTCGGCCGAAGCTGTGGAATCACACGTGTCATGTAACAATGACATTGTGAGTGTTCCTGAGAGAGGTCGTATTGATGTGGTCACTCGCTCGCTCATAGTGAAGGTTGGTGTCTTTGAAATGCTTTCCTTTAGACCGCCATTATTTTACGTGTCTGCATGTCACAATGTCAACGTATGTCCTTCAACCACAGGCTGAGGGCGTTGAGATGTCAAAGACACACAACTTGCTCCTCTGTCCCAAAGGTAAGAAAGAAAGAAAGAAAATAAGGAGTGAAGGAAGAGAGAAAGAAAAAGAGAATGAACAAATGAATTAATCAGTGATAGAAAGGAAACACTAAATTACTGGATGTCAGTTAATGGTATGTATAACTGTAAAGCATTTTAATCACTTAAGTGTGAATTTTTTTTATATCTATTTTTTATTAATGATTAAAAAATACATCAAAGTGCAAATAAAAAGACATTTAAAAATTCGTAATAGATTAAATATATGTTGATCGATCTTAATGCCCAGCAGGACTGAGGACCTGAAAGTTCTAAATTTTTGACCCTGAACCTGTTGTAAGTCTGTCTTTTTTGTCTGTAAACAGGAACTGCTTTGACAGAGGACGTAGAGATGCAGCTTCCGGAGAATGTGATCGTCGGTTCTGCACGTGCCACATTATCAGTACTGGGTAAACAGATAAACTAATGTTAAACTGCTTTGTTGTATTTGTGGGATTTAGTCTGTATGTTTGTGTCTGTGGGGTGTCTTTAGTGTCATTGTCAACAACTACAATAACAAAATCAAAATTTGGAAGTGTTTCTCCAAATCAGCGGTCTCCATTTTACCTGCACATGAAACTTTAGGATTATTTTCATGTGTTGTGTGTTTGTTTTAACCAGATATATGCAAGTGAGGATACAAGAATGCTAAAAAAACTTTAGGATTATTTTCATGTGTTGTTATTTTTTAATTGAATTAAAAAATATGTTACTTCTTTCGCAGTGGTCAGCTACCAAACATTACCACACAATTATTATTAATATTACTTTATACAATAAAAACCAGCAAAAACTACAGACTAATAAATGTTGGTTGAATAAATTAAAAATACAGACATCCTTTTGCAATCTGCTGTTTAATCCAACTATGACTGTCACATCAAGTATCATTATCACAGTCATTGTCTCTGTGCAGGTGACATCTTGGGTCGAGCCCTGAAAAATCTGGATGGACTCCTGAGAATGCCGTACGGATGTGGGGAACAGAACATGGCGCTCTTGGCTCCCAACATCTACATCCTGCACTACCTGAAAAACACAGACCAGCTAACTCCAGCCATCTTGGATAAGGCCACAAACTTCCTGAACAGCGGTGAGTCTGAAGGCCCAGGCAAACAGGACAGTTTGCCACTCAGTAGTAATAAAACTGTGTGTCTGTCACAGGCTACCAGAGACAGCTGAACTACAGACATTCTGATGGTGCTTTCAGTACCTTTGGAAAAGGACGAGGGAACACATGGTGAGAAGATTACTGACTGGTGTATCACATGCAATCATTTAGCTTTTGTGTCAAAAAACAATCTCAACAAGCTGCGTCAGAGTACGTCTGTACTGTGCTGAGAATTGTCATGTACATATTACCCAATGTCTTTGTCATTTCTAACATTTCTTGTCTTCAGGTTGACTGCTTTTGTGATGAGAACATTTGCAAAAGCTAAGACTTTCATCTATATCGACCCAAAAGTTATTAAAAAAACGAAATCGTGGCTGAAACAAAGGCAACAGGAAAATGGCTGCTTCCAAATGATAGGAACGCTTTTCAACAACAGAATGAAGGTAAACCTGCTCTACATGCTGTGATGGATGAACTGAAGAGATTCAAGAATTTATTTGCGACATGATCCAGTAACACCTACAACTACGGAGAAATGAACCCAGGGTCGTTTCATAGTCAACATATTCAAGAACATAAATACACCATAAAGAAGTCTAACAAGAATTAAAAATATTAAGACTTTGAAACATCATTAAGTTAAAAGTATGGGTATTCCAGATGCATATTTGAATTTCTTTAGATCCTTTTATAATGTAGTGTCTCAGTCTTTTACGATAATTCAAACTACTGTAAGGAAGAGTGACAATTTCAGTAGTGACACAGTCTCAGCTGTGTTTCACGTTTTTGTAGGTCATCACAGTTTGGATACAACAAAATAATGAATGATACCCGTCTGTACAGGGTGGTGTTTCTGATGAAGTGACTCTCACTGCCTACATCACTGCTGCCTTCTTGGAGATGAAAATTGATGATGTGAGTAAAACCATTCTCTTTATTTCCACTAATCGCCTTGTGCTTTTTGAACACAGTTCACTTTTAAACAGTTACATATGTCATCTTCAATTCTGTCACAGAACGAAATGATGAACAACAGCATCTCCTGCCTCAAAAATTCCACGAATAACCTCAGTAACACGTACACTACAGCACTACTGGCTTACGTCTTCACCCTGGCAGGAGACATGGAAACTCGTGCTCAGCTTCTGCAGCACTTAGACTCAGTGGCCTTAAAAAAAGGTGAGCAGTCGTCCTCTACATGGACAACTGTACTGACTTAGCTTGTATTGTGAACACACCTGAGCCTGTGCTGCTGTGTTTCAGGTGGTTTCCTTCACTGGGCACAGACATCACAAGACACCTCATCCTCTCTGTCTGTGGAGATCAGCTCATACGTGATATTGGCCAAACTCAGCGCTTCCCCCACTTCTGAGGACCTGGGCTACGTCTCTGGCATTGTCAGATGGCTGACTGGACAGCAGAACTATTATGGTGGCTTCTCATCTACACAGGTACACAGAGTTCGCTGTCCTTGTTATGACTGCAAATGTTTGAAACCTTTTTTTTCTGACTGGAAATTAGTATCAGTTTTCATAAACTCCAAGCTCCACAGAGAAAATGTAACATTTGCACCAAAGCACTAGTCATTTTCTCATTTACAACCCCATAGCTTGTCGACAGAAGACTCAGTTACAATGCAGCTTTCAACCACATGATGGCACTATTGCATCTATCAGTTATTTTTAAAAATTTTTCTTCTTCTCTACTCTCAAGCCAAAAGACTACGTTTTTGTATAAGTACAATCCTGACTTCATTAAGTCTAATATTTAATGGGCTTTGTACCATAAAAATTGGGCCTCGAGGCCAAACAGGTTAAGGACCCCTAATGTACCACATTTACAAAGCAACTTTGACTCAGACTCTTTCTTAAAATCAGTAAATATCACAGGAAAATAAATAATTAGAGTTTCGATGTCATTCAATTTCTATATGACTGATTCAATTTCCTTTGAATTTTGTCAACATTAAAAAGTAAAGGAAACCATTTATCCTGAATCACTCAGTGTGTGTGTGTTTCAGGACACAGTGGTGGCTCTCCAGGCTCTGGCTCTTTACTCCACCTTGGTGTACAGTCCAGACGGTTCGAGCACAGTGACTGTCCAGTCCCCAAGTGGTGAACTGACATTTGATGTGAACCAGAACAACAAACTGCTCTACCAGGAGAAGATTCTGCAGGACACGACAGGAAAGTACAGTGTGGAGGTGAAGGGCAACAGCTGTGCGTCCATCCAGGTCAGTCATCATTACAGCCGTACCTGCTGTTTTGTGGCAGTGATGGTAAAAAAACAATACATTTTATATCAGTTGACAGCAATGTGAGAACTATTCTGTCCTTCATTTCTTTGTTTTTTTTTGTTTTCCCTCCTCTGTTTTCCTCAGTTGTCTCTTCACTACAACATCCCAACTCCTAAAGCTTCTTCAGTTTTCAACATCAATGTCACAACACAAAGCACCTGCCAAGCCAACAGCGGGGTGACTTTAAAGATGGAGTCTCTGTAAGTTTGTCATCACACATTCATGCTACATTTGGGGACGCATCTCTGCACTCAGGTTAGACTAAAAGTCCACTGTACTAAATATAAATGAAAGTATTTAATATTATTTTTTGTTAGAAGAAGTGAATAGATATTCAGTGTTGCCTGCCTAATAATATGAATTAATAGGTAGGTTCCTATACTTTGTAATCATTGAGCTACTTAACTCTGTATACACTAAATAAACAAATATAAACATGAATAAAAATAAATGTTAACATGGGACAAATTACGTATGTCCTGAAACCTTTCTACAAGATTAGGAGAAGGTGGCATTTTGTTTGCTGATTCATCCATTTATTCGTTTATTTTGAAGCTATAAGGGAGAGGAACCTCAAAGCAACATGGTCATACTGGATATCAAAATGCTCTCTGGATTTATACCAAATCCAGAGTCTTTGACACAC